AACGTTTACTGATGAAGATCAAAGAGCACAGCCTTCAGTATGGATTACATCTCAATGTAAAGAAAACAAAAATCCTCACCACTGGACCAATAAACAACCTTCTTATCAATGGAGAAAAGATTGAAGTTGTCAAGGACTTCATTCTTCTTGGATCAATTATCAACATTCATGGAAACAACAGTCAAGAAATCAAACGACGTATTGCATTAGGCAAATCTGCTGCAAAAGACTTCTTTAAAGTGTTGAAGAGCAAAGATGTCAGCTTGAAGACTAAGGTGCGCCTCACCCAAGTCATGGTATTTTCAATAGCCTCATATAGATGCGAAAGCTGGACAGTGAATAAGGAAAACTGTAGAGGAATTCTTGCCTTTGAATTATGGTGTTGGAGGAGAATATTAAAAGTGGCATGGGCTGCCAAAAGAATCAATAGATCTGTTTTGGAAGAAGTGCAGCCAGAGTGCTCCTTAAAGGACAAGATGGCCAGACTTCGTCTCTCATATTTTGTACATATTGTCAGGAGGGACCAGTCACTGAAGAAGGATATCATGTTTGGTAAGGTGGAGGGTCAGAGAAAAAGAGGAAGACCCCCAGCGAGATGGATTGGCCAGGTGGCAGCATTGATGGACTCTTGTGTGGCAGTGGTAGTAAGGTTGGCCCAGGATTGGACATTGTTTCACTCTGCTGTGCATGGGGTCTCTATGAGTCGGTTCCAACTTGATGGCACCTAACAACAATAACTAGGGTTTGGCAAAAGTGGTTTTTTTTGACATGATACTACAAGTATTATATGTGTTTGTTGTTAGGTGTCATTGAATTCGTTCCCACTAATAGCGACCCTGTGCACAACAGAAGGAACCACTGCCTGGTCCTGAGCCATCCTCACAATAGTTGTTAAGCTTGAGAACATTGCTGCTGCCATGGCACCAATCCATCTCATTGATGGTCTTTCTCTTATTCACTGACTCTGCACTTTACTAAGCATGATATCCTTCTCTAGGGACTAGTCCCTCCTGATAACATGTATGAAATCTGAGAGACACAGTCTTGCCTTCCTGGCTTCTAAGGAGTGTCCTGGTTGTACTTCTTCCAAAGCAGATTTGTTTGTTTTTCTGGCAGTTCATGGTACTTTCAATATTCTCCTCCAAGGTATCAGCTTTTCTTCAGTCTTCATTATTCATTGTATAACTTTCATATGCATATAAGGTTACTGAAAAAATCATTGTTTGGGTCAGACAAACCTTCAAATTGAATCTTTGCTCTTGAACACTTTAAAGAGGTCTTGTGCAGCAGATTTACCTAATGCAATACATCAGTTGATTCTTGACTGCTGCTTCCATGAGTGTTGATTGTGGATCCAAGCAAACTGAAGTCTTTGACAACTACAATCTTTTCTCCATTTCTATGGACATTATTTATTGGGCCAGTGGTTAGGATTTTTGTATTCTTTACACTGATCTTTATCAGTAAGTATTTTAAGTCTTCATTTTCAGCAAGCAAGGTTGTATCATCTGCATACTATCTTGATGCCACATTCTTATATAATCCAACTACTTGAATTATTTGCTCAGCACAGAGATTGAATGTTGTTGTTAAGTGCTCTTGAGTAGGTTCTAACTCATATGGTTTCTAAGGAACAGTTGGTGAATTTGAAATGTCGACCTTACAGTTCAGTGCATTATTCTACAGAGCCATATATGGTGAAAGAATATAATCCTGGTGCTTACTGATTTTATACTATTCAGTATTTCCTTGTTCTGTTTGAATGACTGCCTCTTGGTCTATGTACTGATTCCACAGGAGCACAATTACTGTTCTGGAATATCCATTTTCCACAAAGCTATTCATAGCTTGTCATCATCCACACAGTAAAAAGCTTTGCATAGTCAATAAAGAACAAGTAAACATCTTTCTAGTATCCTTTACTTTCAGCCAAGATCCATCTGACATCAGCAAAGATATCCTAAGTTGTGTGTTTTCTTCTGAATTGGTCTTGAAGTTCTTGCAGTTTCCTGATGATGTACTGTTGCAACCATTTTTTAATTATCTTTAGCAAAATTGTACTTAATATGTGATAATAATTCTGTTATTCACTTGTCTTTGCAATGGGCACAAATCAGCATTTCTTCCAATCTATTAGTCAATTAGCTGTCTTCCAAATTCCTTTGCATAATGGAGTGAGTGCTTGCAGTGCTTCATCAGTTGGATGAAAGATTTCAATTGTATTCCATCAATTTCTGGAGCCTTGTCCTTCACCAATGCCTTCAGCATAGCTTGGACTTCTTCCTTCAGTATGCATTGGCTTTTGATCATATACTACTTCTTGAAATAGTGGAACATTGACCACTTCTTTTTAGTACAGTGACTCTGT